TAAGCCCATCAAAGGCATACTTCATTTTTTTACAGTGTTTTTTATCTCTAGCATTTCTTTTTGGTTCTTTGGTTCTTTCTTAGAATTTCCATCTCTCTGCTTACATTGCCCATTTATTCTTCCATGCTGTCTACTTTATCCATTAGAGTCCTTAGCACATCAAACATAGTTGTTTTAAATTCCCAGTCTGATAATTTCAACATTCCTGCCATATTGGAGTCTGGTTCTGATGCTTGCTCTCTCTCTCCCAACTGCGTTTTTTGCCTTTGTGTATGTCTTGTAATTTTTTGTTGACAGCCAGACATGATGTACTGAGTAAAAGGAACTGCTATAAATAGGCTTTCAGTAATGTGGTGGTAAGGCATATGTGTGTGCAGGAAGCATTCTATAGCCCTAAGATTAGATATCAGTCTTATTGAGCCTGTGCCTCTGGATTGTGAATTTCATACAACCTAGTCAGTTTTTCTCCTCCCCCCCTTGATTTGCATAGGGTGGTCAGAGTGGGCTTGGATTGGGTATTTCCCTTCCATTAGGTCAGTTAGGTTCTGGTTGGAGAGTTTCTCCTGAGGGCAGATCTTGTTAAGAAGAACAGAATGCTCTGGCGTATTTCAAAATGGTTCCCCCTACTGTTAGCACAAGGGGATTTTTCTCTGATATTCACTGTGAGAAACTAGTAGAGCTTCAGGAGGTAAAACTCACAAAAGTATGGGTGACCCTAATGACTGGGTTCCCCTAGAGTTTTTCTCTCTCAGATTTGTCCACACTGAGCCTCCAGCAATTTTTCAACTACAGTTCAGGTTTCCCCACACTGGCACTGAGTCCTACATAGGCTTCTGCTCTGGTAAGTTATGATTCTCTGTATTTGCCTGTCAGTCTTTCCAATTTTGGGGCAGTGGTTTGTCCTGTGATGTCACTTCTCTTCCAGATCTAAGAAGAGTTGCTGATTTTTCCATTTGTTCAGCTTTTTACTTGTTAGAATGAAGTGGCGATTCCCAAGCTTCTCATATGCTGGACTAGAAACTGGTAGTTTCTTTAGGATATTTTTATATATAGGATCATGTGACCTGCAAATAGAGAGAGTTTTACTTCTTTCTTTCTAGTTTGGATGCCTTTCTTTCTTTTTCTTGTCTAATTCCTCTGGCTAGAACCTCCAGTAAAACGTTAAATAGCAATGGTGAAAACGAGAATCCTTGTCTCATTCCTAATCTTAGGGAGAAAATTTTCAGTCATTCACCATTGAGTATGATGTTAGCTGTAGGTTTTTCATAAATACCTTTTATCATGTTGAGTACATTCCCTTCTATTCCTAGTTTTTTGAGAGTTTTTATCATGAAATGATGTTGGGTTTTGTGAAATGACTTATGTGCATCAATTAAGATGATCGTGTGGTTTTTTTCTCTTAGGTTCTATTAATGATGTATTATATTGATTTATTTTTTACACTGAACCACTCATTACTGGGAAAAATCTCACTTTGTCATGGTGTATAATCCTTTTAATATGGTTTTGGATTTGGTTTGCTAGTATTTTGTTGAGGATTTATGCATCTATATTCATTAGGAACACTTGTCTTTAATTTTCTTTTCTTGTGATATTTTTAATATGGTTTGGTATCAGGGTAATGCAGGCCTTATAGAATAAGTTAGGAAGTATTCCCTATTCTTGCATTCTTTGGAAGAGTTTAAGAGAGACTGGTGTTAATTCTTCTTTAAATGTTTGGTTCAATTCACTAGTGAAGCCATCTGGTCCTGGACTTTTCTTTGTTAGGAGGTTTCTTATTACTGATTCAATTTCTTTACTTGTTACAGACCTGTTGAGATTTTTTATTTTGTCTTGAGTCTTTAGATCATTTGTGTGCTTCTAGAAATTGTTCATTTCATCTAGGTTATTTACTTTGCTGGCACAGAGTTGTTCATAGTATTCTCTTATAATCCTTTTGCTTTCTGATGATACTGATGATAGGTATCCATGTTCATTTCTCTCTCTCTCGTTTTTTTTTTTGTGAGGAAGATCAGCCCTGCGCTAACATCCATGCTAATCCTCCTCTTTTTGCTTAGGAAGACCTGCTCTGAACTAACATCTACTGCCAATCCTCCTCCTTTTTTTTCCCCCAAAGCCCCAGTAGATAGTTGTATGTCATAGTTGCACAGCCTTCTAGTTGCTCTATGTGGGACGTGGCTTCAGCATGGCCAGAGAAGCGGTGCATCGGTGCAAGCCTGGGATCCGAACCCGGGCCGCCAGTAATGGAGCATGCGCACTTAACCGCTAAGCCACAGGGCCGGCCCATCCATGTTCATTTCTGATGATAGTTATTTCCTTCCTCTCTCCCTCCCTTTCTCTGTCTAGCTAAAGGTTTGTTAATTTTGTTGATCATTCAAAGAATCAATTGAATTCTCTTGAATTCTCTCCAAAGAATCCTTCATTCTCTTCATTATTTTTCTGTTCTCACTTTAACTCTGCTCTAATCTTTATTATTCCCTTCCTTCTGCTAGCTTTTAGTTTCCTTTCTCTTCTTTTTCTAGTTCCATAAGACATAAAGTTAGGTTTATGTTTACTGATTTAAGATCCTTCTTCCTTTTTAATATAAGCATTTACAGCTCTCAGTTTCCCTCTGAGCAATGCCTCTGTTGCATTCCATGTGGTGTTTTCATTTAATTCATCTCCAGGTATTTTCTAACTTCCCTTGTGATTTCTTCTTTGATCCACTGGTTGTTTAAGAGTGTCATGTTTAATTTCCACTGTTTTTTAACATTCCATTTTTCCTCAGGTTATTGATTTCTAGCTTCATTCCATTGTGGTTGGAGAAGATGCTTCATATGATTTCAGTCTTTTTACATTTATTGAGACTTGTTTTGCTGGCCTAATATCTGGTCTATCCTGGAGAATGTGCCATGTGCACTTGAGAAGAATATGTATTCTCCTGTTGTTAGGTGAAAGGTTCTATATATATCTGTTGGGTTTAGTTGATTATTGTGTTGTTCGAGATCTGTATATCCTTATTTATCTTCTGTCTATATGTTTTATCCATTATTGGAAGTGGGGTATTGAACTTTCTGTTATTCAAGAACTATTTCTCCTTTCAATTCTATTGAAAAGTATTCTTAATGGAGTAAGGATTCCTACCACCTTTTAGAAGGGCCAAAATAGTTTCAATACTTACATGTGTATACCTTTAAACCAAGAAATTCCAATTTTAGAAAATATCCTAAAGAAATGATGGTATGATTATAACCATAGTAACACCTATTGAGCCTTTACTTTGTGTCAGGCTCTGGGATAACCATTTTAAATGTATTAACTTATTTATTAAGTAGTTCTATTATTATTCTAAATTTATAAACGATACAAGAGATTGCAAGTGTTTGATCAGTAGATAAATACATATAATTCAAAGCTTTCATTGCAGCAGTGTTCACTACAGAAAAAAACAGAAAGCGAACTATTGGATAGGGCATGGTACTGACAGTTATAAAACTTGGGTTTAAATTGTCCTCTATCATTTATGACTACAAATCCTTAACTCTTCTGGGTCTCAATTTCCTCAAATGCAAATAATCTCTAAGATTTCTTCCAGTTTGCACTTTATGATTCTTGTTTACTACTCAAATCATCTAAGATAGTGCTGGAAACAAAGCAGTCCCTGACTGAAAATTATTAGAGACGGTAATGTAATGACTTCTATAAACTAATCCTGCTCTAGAAGCATAGGTGTTTACGGAAGAAACATCTGTACTTTGGAAAGCTAACTAAGACTGTGCAATCATGATGAATCAAAAAAAAAAATAAATAAAACAAAACAAATGAATCCCCTGCCCAAAAAAGCAAGAAATAAAATCTTGAGTTTATAGTTGTATTTATAGCAGAGAAACCCTACTTGTAACCACTAACATTCAATCGTCAGAGAAAAGCAAGTTCTGACCAATTCTACCACATCATTCATTCATTGATTCATTTATTAAGCAAGTATTAAATACAGGGCCCTGTGCCAGGTTAATAATACACCTGTCTATGTTTTCAGTAAGCTAGGTCACAGTTTAGGTGGGGAGACATTTTGTGAATAAATAATTACAATAAGAGCTTTGCTACAGTTATTAATAGAATCCTACAGCAGCACAGAATAAGAAATACTCAGACTTCCTGAGATAACATTCAACTTGATTCTTGTATTTGCTGGACGAATAAGACGCTAGACTAGGCATGGTTATGCAAGGAGTGGGTGGAGGTGCGGGCTGGCAGACAATGCAGAGGAAACGGGATATGCAAAGGTTAAAGTCAAGAAAAGGCAGACATCATATTCAGATTATAATTTAGTGTTGTAGAAATATGATGTCAATTTAATCCCAATTCTCTCACTTTGACAACATAATATTAATATTATTGATATTATTGAGCACTTGTGTCAGCTTACATACATACGTATGTACTCCTTAGATAAAACAAATGAGATAGGGTTTTACAGATGAGAAAATTAAGGCCCAAAAAGTTTAAATATTTTGTCCAGCATTACACAGATAGTAACTGATGAGGCTGGGAGTTAAAATCAGGTAGTCCAACTCTAGAGCTGGCACAAGGATTTCCCTTGCTAAGTACTTTTGCAAAGATGTATTAGCCCATGTCCATTATCATCTCATCCCACCTAACAGAAGCATCTGCAGAGCTACCTCTGAGCTCTCCTGTCATTCACAAGACAGAGGATCTGGATATCTAACAATGCCTCCCATGCAGACTACCAACACATCTTGTCCAGGTACGCAGCCCTTCATAAATATTTTAACTCCTCCCTGATAGATTTCTTCTTCCCACTAAACATAGCCTTCCCTTTCCTTCCAGCATGATTAGGAAGTCTCTATTAGCTTGCCACTGGTAAGAAAGAGAATTAAGAATACTAGGTTTGAAGGATAGCTAGTTTTCACTCTACACCAAAGAGCGTACATAAGTAATTCCTATTAAGCCTAAAGAGGAGAAAATTAATTTGACTTCATAAATATGAGATCAAATACCTTCAGTCCCTCCAATTCATTTTCCAGTTGCTTAGAATAGTGCTCGCTCTGTTCACGCAATTTCCTGTCTTTTGATGCTTCAGCAGCTACAGCTTCTGTATGAACTTCCAGCTTTAAAATAAAATGAAAAAAGCAGATTTTATAGTTATAATTGCTTTTCCAATAAAATGCTTTTTCCCCATGGGACTCTACCTTGTAATAGGAAGATAACTCAAATTTTGAAATTCTTATTAAATAATATTACCAAACTAAAAAAATAACTTTTTCCAAAAATTAGAGAATGAAATATATATTATTTCACTAGTCTGAAAAAGTAGCTTTAATCACTACCCCACGGGCACTACAGAATTTGCCTGACTACTAACCTCTTTCTTGGCTCTTTCTGTTCTGCGCAGTTCTTGCCTTAAGCTTTCAACTTTTTGCATCACCAGGTCCACCTCTTCTTCCTTATCTCGGACATGGCGAGCAAGTTTCTGTTTTTGGGTGTGCAATTCTGTTAGCCGCTCATTGATCTCCATGAATTCCTGCATGGCCAGTTTCCTCTGACAGTGTGCGTCTTTCAGCTCTTTGGATTGGTTTTTTAATCGCTCACTAGCCTGGACTAGTTCCTACAGTTTTGTAAAAAGAATATAAGTTACCAATTCTGCAACCTAGGGACCAAATTTGGCCAACGAAGTAGCTATCATGAAGTTAAGAAGGGCCAAAATTATTCAAAATTAGAAGAAAAGAACTACTTTTGAACAGATACTAAGAACATGGTACTCTGTTCATATTCTCAATTCCTTATGCTAACAGGCTAACTGCAAAGGAACAGCTGATTTAACCTTCCAGCACCTCAGTTTCTACAAATAAATAAAGAGTATAAGAATACAAGATACGATGGTCAAAATAAAGATTTTGTGAAATTAATGGATATTTGTGAAATGTAAAAAAAATTATATTGAATGATTACAATTGATTAAAACAAGGGTTGCTCTTGATGTGGAAACTAAACTTTAGGTCCGAAGCAAGGAGAAAAAACTAAAGTCCTGGTCAAAGTGAGAAACTTAGAGGGTGCTAAAGTAGACTCGGGTCAGTAGAACCACCTGTCTCCCAGTAAAAAGGAAATGCAAATATTCTTTGAGGAAAAGAACCTCAAATCTAGCTTTTTGAAGGGCATGCAAACATGAGCTCACAATCATAGATTCCCAAATACCCAAAGAACAAACAATCATAAGCAAACAACAGAAACAATAATAATAAGCCCCAACGGTATTTGGATATTGGAATTGTCAGATATAGACATAAAATTGCTTTGTATGAAATGTTTGAAGAAATAAAAGGAAATCATAAAAATGGGAAAATGACAAAAGACTACCAAAAGTGACCAGGCATATTTATAAAACAACTTTATGGAATATTTAGAAATGAAAAAAATTTAAGTGTTAAAATTAAAGACATGAATCCACCTATATCCATCAATATAGGAAGCTCTACATTTATGAAGCAAGAAAAATAAAAAGTAACTCAAATCCAGAAACTTAAAAAAAAAAAATTTTATAACACCAAATAAAAATAAAAGTCCTTAATAGAAATCAGAGGAAAAAAAGACAAATCACCTATTCTCCATCCTCAAGAAAAAAAAAAAGGATAATTAGACTCAGAGCAGACATCTAAGAAGTAACGATAGAAACAATGGAAAATATTTTTAAAGAGATGAGAAAATAATTAAAATTGTATACACAGAAAAATTACAATCAAGTGTGAGGCTAAAATAATGAGATTCATACAAACAAAAATTGACAGAGCTTACCACAATCAGATCTGCACTAAAGGAACCTCTGAAAACTTATTTCAGGAAAAAGAAAAATGATTTTAGAAGGAAGGGCTAATGAAAGAGAAATGGAAGGCTAAGAAATTAGGAAATACACATACAAATGTAAAGAAACATATATAATACTGCACTATAAAAATGTCTCAGTACAGTAAACAAAAAGGATATAACTAAAATATTGGTCAAAAACAGCACAGAAGTTAGGAAGAGGTAATACAGTTCAAAGTCCTTAAATCGTTTGGGAGGAGTAGTTTAAGATATTAAACAGACTTTGTTCAACGCGCATGATAAAATTCAAGAGTAACTATCAGAAACTGCTAGAATGAGCAGTGAGTAAAACAGGAAAAAGAAAACAAACAAAAACCTCACTTCAAAATCAGGAAAAAATTACAAGGGGTGGAGGGATGCATTTAAAGGGTGACTGGACAAACAATAATGTACAACAAGAATGTCACAATAAAAAAACAATCAGGAAAAAATTTCCCAAGATGAAAAGAATTCTGTAGATTGCACCACAATGTGTACTTTACTGAACTGTACACTTAAATAATGGTTAAGATGGTAAATTTTATGCTATATGTATTTTACTACAATTGAAAAAAAAAGCAAGAAAGAGGACAAAGATAAACAGAGAAAAGCATGACAAACAGAAAGCAAAAAGTAAAGTGGTAGAAACATGTCCATATACAGTAGTAATCAAAATAAATACAAAAGGGCTCCATTCACCAGTTTAAAGACAGTTTGTTAGACCAAATTAAGAAACAAAATCTAGACTTTAATAGAAAAAGCATTATTAAGAATAGAGACTGTCACCATACAATGATAAAATTCAATTCACTAGGAAGAAATGCCATTCTAAACTTTTGTGCACTCCACAAGACAGTCTCAAAATATATTAGAAAGAAATTACTAGAACTTCATAGAAAAATTGGTGAATACATCACCATAATGAGAAATTTCAATTTCTGAATCATTAATAGATAAACCAGGTACTTTAAAAAAAAAATAGTGAATATAAAGAAGATTTGAAAAGCTCAATTAATAAACTTCATATATAGAAGTTTGCACCCAATATTGGACACACACATTCTTCTCAAGCATTTATTGAACATTTAAAATGAAACAGTCTAGGCCATGAAGCAAGTCTTAGTAGATTTCAAAGAACAGATATGACATAGGTCAAGTTCTTTAATATTACCATTAAAATAGAAATCAAAAATAAAAAGGCTGAATTCCATAATAACTTACAGAAAGAAACCATAAAGGATATTAAAATATTTAGAACTAAAAAAAATTAAAAATACAAAAACCGAAAACATTTAGTACATACTAAAACTTGGGGATGCAGTAAAAGGTATACTTAGGGGAAAATTTATAGCCTTAAATACTTATATTAAACCTAAAAAAGAGATTGAAATTCACTGGAATTTCACATAAAAGTTAGAGATAGAACAACGCATTAACCTTTCCCCTCAATATGAGAAAATAATAAAGATAAAAGCAAAAATTAATGAAAAAGAAATGTGAGAATAATGAGGATCAACAAAGTCAAAAGCTGGTTCTTTGAGAAAAATAATAAAATGGGCAAACATCTGGTGAAATCAAACAGAGGAATAAGAATAAATGCACAAAGAAATAATATTAAGAAAGAAAAAGAGGTTATCATTACAAATCTAGAAGCATTTAAAAAATAATAAAAGAACAATGAAAAACTTTATGCCGATTAATCTGTTAACTTATGAACAAATTCCTACAAAAATACAATTTATCAAAACTGTTTCTAGAAGAAATAGAATGCCTGAGTAGTCCTATAACAATTAAAGGAAACCAATAGTTAACAAACATTCCCCATCCCCCCAGTGGGGGAGAATCTCAAGGCTCACATGGTTTTACAATCCCAGGTGATTCCTCCAATGTTTCAAGAACAAAACATCCCTCTTATACAAACTCTTCCAGAAAACAGAAAAATAGGCAATGCTACCCGACTCATTCTATGAAACCAGTATAATCTTGGTATCGAAAAAAGACCAGAAAGATAAGAGAAAAAAATTACAAGCCAATCTTATTGATGAAAACAAATAAAAAATCCTAAAAAAAAGACATTAGCCACTCAGTTCCAGTGATGTATAATGTGGCTCAGCATAAACTCTGGAACTAGACTCCTTGCGTTAAAATTTCAGCTCCACCACTTTCTAACTCAATGATCTTGAGCAAGTGTACTTAACTTCTCTGTGTTCAGTCTCATCATTTGTAAAATCAGTATAATAATACCTAAATCACAGGACTCTTATAAAGATTAAATGATCTAATATAAGTAAAGCACTTAAAACAGTGCTACTAGAACAGATGCTACGTAAGTGTTACTTATACTATCATATTATTATTTAGGAGATTAGGAGATAATACATAGGCAATTTAGGTTTAACTCAGAAATGCAAAAGTGGCTTAACATTGGAAAAAGTCTATAAATGTAATTCACCACACCAACTTATTAAAGGAGAACAATTATGTAATTACATCAATAGACAGTAATAAGTTCCTAGATATTTATTGCAATAGTGTGCAGAAAACTACATTTAATAAATCCAATACCCATTCTTGATAAAAATGATTAGCAAAAGAGGAATGGAAGATAACTTCCTTAACCTGATAAAAAGTATTTACCAAAAACTTACAGAAAACATTATTAGTGGTGAAATATTAAAGGCATTTTCTTTGAAATCACGAATAAGATAGGGATGCCTGCTATCACACTTCTATTCAACATTGCACTGGAGATCCTAGCTAATACAGTAAGACAAGGAGAGAAAGAAAAGTCATAAAAACCAAAAAAGGAAGAAACAAAACTGTCATTAATTGCAGAAAACCTTAAAGAATCTCAAATATATTATTACAATTAATAAGAGTTTAGCAATGTTGTTAGGACAAAATCAGTAAGAAAATATAATTTTTAAAGATACCACTTAAAATGTGAAAAAAATAGTGGAATAATAAATTTAAGGAAAGACAAACAAGACCTATATAAAATTTTATATGGAAAAACATTTTATAAGACTTTAAAGACAGAGAGAGCTATACCATACTTGTGGATAAAAAGACTGTGGGGCTGTCGAGAAAATATTTTTATGTTTTTGTACAGTTAGGCCTTTCTAAGCAAATTTTACTGAAACTTGGGACCTGGGCTAAAAGCAAGCCCTGTACAGTAATTTATGACTAATTTAGATAGTGAGAAAATGCCAGAGATTTAACTCCTGGACATACGTGTTTACATTTCAAGGAGAGGTGGGGAGAGAGATAAGAGCCTGGACCAGGGAGATATCCTCTATAGAGCTGGACTGGAGACTCTGGGCTTATCTTTCCAGTGGAGTGATTTATTTATATTCCAAAGGGTCCTAGATCCTTCTCTTTAGGTTTCCAAGGAGACTCTCAGAAGGGTGGGTGGAGATGGGGGAAGCAGGAAGCATCTGCTCCTCTCCTCTACATAAACACCCTGATTCCCTTTTTCGGGGCTCCTTGTCTATATACAGACTTTATGTGTAGGGCTTTATCCATCCAGTTCTCACTGCATTGCCCCAGAAGTAAGAATTGGCACACAGAGGAGCCATGTGGTTATTTTTTTGCTGTATGTAAATCATAACAATTTGCTCTGCCCTTAAAATCTGTGTGTGCATTTTGAATAATCTTAACAAACATCGATATTAAGACCGTCAAGACTCAATATCAGCATGTCAATTCTCCTGAAACTACTCTATAGATTTAATGCAATTTTAATCAAAATCCCATCACAGTTTTCAAGGAGTAGAGAGTTGAGATACAGACTCATGCATAAATGTAAATTTAATACATGACAAAGGTTACATTGCACATCACTGAGGGAAGGAAGGCCTATTTTGGTAGTAAATGAACGACTGGTTAGCCATATGGGAAAAAGTGAAATTGGATCCTTATCTCACAGGATATACAAAAATAAATTTCTGATGCATTAAAAATTTAAATATGAAAGACCAAACTTAAAAACTTCAAGATAAAAATTTAGGAGAATTATTTTTTACCTCAGATTTCTTACACAAGCCAACCAATGCACTAACCATAAAAATAAAGATTGATAAATTTGACTACATTAAAACTACAAACTTTTGGGCCGGCCCCGTTGCCTAGCGGTTAAGTGCGTACGCTGTGCAGCTGGCGGCCCAGGTTCGGATGCCGGGTGCGCACCGACGCACCGCTTCTCCGGCCATGCTGAGGCCGCATCCCACATACAGCAACTAGAAGGATGTGCAACTATAACATACAACTATCTACTGGGGCTTTGGGGGAAAAAAAAGGTGGAGGATTGGCAATAGATGTTAGCTCAGAGCTGGTCTTCCTCAGCGAAAAGAGGAGGATTAGCACAGATGTTAGCTCAGGGCTGATCTTCCTCACAAAAAAAAAAAAAAACAACTAAAAACTTTTGTTAATCAAAAAATCCCATAAAGAAAGTGAAAAGACAAGCTACTAGCTGGGAGACATCCGTAACATACATAACTGACAAAAAATTAACAGGTCCAGAAATTTTCAAGAATTCTTACAAACCAATATGAAAAAGACAAAGCCCAAAAGAAAAATGTGCAAAGGATATTAAGAGGCATTTCACAAAAGAAGAAATATAAGTGATAAATGGACATATGTGAAGATAATCTCATTAGCAGTTAGAGAAATACGAATTATTAAGACCATAATAAAACATTATTTGAGGCCAAAAATATCAATTTAGACTAGGTTGGCCAAAAATAATATATCTAGCAATATGAAGTATTGTTGAATATGAAAACTCCTATATACTACTGCTGGGAGTATAAATTGGAACAATACCAAATCATTTTCCACTGATTATCATAAAAAATAGAATATTTGCATTGCTATGACCCAATTATTCTATCCCTGCATGTGTGTGTGTGTATCAGGATATATGTTCAAGAATGTTCAAAGCAGCATCACTTATAGTAGCTATGAATTATAAGCAAGCTAAATGTCTGTAAACAAAAAACTGGATAAATAAATTGTGGGGTGTTCACACAACGGTGTAGTATGTGGCAACTAAATGAATGACCTACAGCTACATGGATAAATCTTAAAAATATAAAGTTGAGTGAAAAAAACAAATTACAAAAGATTGCATATACTACAAAGCTCAAAAACAAGCAACACTAAATAATATATTGTTCAGAGATATACTAATATGTAATAAAAAAATTTTTTAAGTAAGGGAATGATCAACATAAAATTCAGAACAGTAATCACCATTTCAGGGAAGTCAGAAGAAAGGGATAAGAAATGGCCACCCAGGGCTATGCCACAAAATAGGTAGTGTTCTATTTCTTAAGTTAGATGGTGGGTTCTAAGGGTGTTCGTTTTATTATTTGTGTCAAAACTTATACAGTTACATTTATTCTTTTATACACATCAAATGAAAAAAGTTTTAAAAAGAATATCTGCTGCCTGTAAGATATTAAGCAAATCATTTAAAATTCTTTATCAATATAATCTGTTTCTTTTCAGCACTATCCTCTTTTGAAAATAAACTAAAAAGATTTTTAATATTAAAACATTAAAAATTGGCAAAATACATGTTATGATAAATTCAGATATCAGATTCTCATCCTTATTATGTTAACTAAGCTGGACTGAGTAATCTTACCTTTAAATATATAATAGTAACCACTAATATTACTATAATATTATTAAAACAAATAGAACATCTAATTGTTATAAATTACATATATCATTAAATTGGCCATAAATTTAAATAGATCTATACATAAAATTGCTTGAAATTGCATCAAGAAAAAAGTAAAAACATAATAATCTAATTCAATTTAACCTTTATAGCTTTCTCTGTTAGTCTTTTTGATCTTCATCAGCAAAAGGTTGTTTTCTTTTTTTTTCTTGTTTTTTTTTTTTTTTGGAGGAAGATTGGCCCTGAGCTAACATCTGCTGCCAATCTTCCTCTTTTTGCTTGAGGAAGATTGTCCCTAACATTCATGCCCATCTTCCTCTATTTTGTATGTGGGACACCGCCACAGCATGGAGTGATGAGCGGTGTGTAGGTCCATGCCCAGGATCTGAACCCCAGAACCCCCGGTCGCCAAAACGGAGCACAAGAACTTTACTACTACGCCACTGGGCCAGCCTCTATTTGTTTTAATTTTAATCGTCTCCATTTCTTTATTGGCAGCAAGACTTATAAATCTTGCCCAGAAGGACTTTATTCTGCATTATCAATGTATTATATACCACATCACTGAATACAATTTATACTATGCCTAAACCACTCATTTCTTTTTTGCATTGGCTAATATTAATTCCAACATTTTTTTATTTGTTAATGAAAGGCAAAGTACACACAGCATGTGGTTTAAGTAAAGTATTTTTCTCTAGTGCTTGAATATTATTTACTCTATTGGACTGTTACAGTGTCTTAGCTATTAATAAATTTTGTTGATGTTTATAATACTGTTTAAGTATCACACAAAGTTCTTAGGAAAATTACTTCAGCTTGTTTGTCCATGCTTTGAAAAACAAACTGACATTTAAAAAAATCACTAAAGCATTAAAATCATAAATCATTATAAAAAATGATAAATCATAAAAAATCACAAATAATTAAATTTTGTATTATAATCTTTCAAGAATGTTCATATCAGCAAGTCATAATGAAAATATGCCTGTATTTTTTTATTTTTCCATAGACACTAAACAGATTTTACCATCCTCTTATTCCTTCATAATATTTTTTTCAATAACACTCACTCTAATCGAGTCCTTTGACTAACTTTGCAAAAGAACAAAAGATCCTGAACTGTAAAGCCAGGAAAATAAAAGTTTCTTCATTACTAGCTATTAATCAAATGACATACACCAAAGTAGTTCTTAAATGTTTAGACCAACTTTTTATAGAAAAAATATACTACACATTATTGTAATTCATTATAAATGCTTTCAGTATACAAATTAAACAAGGTTAAGAATTCAGAAAGGCTTTCACAATCTATCCATATGTTTTTACCTTATTTAAGTCTTCCCTTTCCTGTTGTAATGTTTTGATTTGTTTTTCATAACCCTTGATTTGTCTAAAAGCATCATCTAGTTCTCGCCTCACAGAATTAGCTTCTTCAAGTTGCTGTTCCAAGTGACTTGATTCTAAAAAGAGAAGACAGTGTTTCTTTTACTATTTGTATAAAAACAAATGCTTGAAACCAAGGTTTAAAACAACTAAATCTTTTAAAAAATACAGTATTTTGAATTTTGTATTAGGCTTACTGACACCATATACCACTATGACTCATGACAATTAAATGCTTATCATTTCACTGTAATGATGGTGTACAGCTAACGCCAGTGTGAAGATGTGCAAAATTTTTGCACAAAATTTAGGTACAAAAATGCCTTACATGCCTGTTAGGAAAAAGAGACCACATTTCTAAAAACAGTATCTTCAGAACAATTAAAAACTAACCAAAAAAAAATGAAACCAAACAAACAAAACACAAGTTCTCCTCTACCATTGGTTAGCATTCCTCTGCTGATGTTAGTCAAATTACTGTAAAATGATTTTGCTTCTAAAATTGTGATTCCAGATCACCCAGCCTGGTTTCACCAGTGGTGATAGGAAGAATAAACTCCAATTTCTAAAAGTAAATTATCTGAAAACCTCTGATCTAGGTGAGTTTCTCCACTTTTCAAGTGAAGAAACTGAGGTTCAGGAAACTGAATAACTTGCCTAAGGTCACATTGCTACAGGAGTTCCAGAGCTAAGACTAGAGCCCAGGAATTCTGGCATCAGCCTCTCCAACTTAGAAAGTAATGTTATTAAATAATGTTAACATCAGTTCAGAAGGGTTATTATGAAACAAAATAAAATTATTAATTTTAACATACGCTTAAATAAAATTTAATAAATTGATATGAAAACATTCCTGGCATCAAAAGTAAATTAGCAAATAAAAGAACTGAAGCCAGTGAAAACAGAGAAATCTAAACACGTTCATTGTTAATTCTGTTCTGGATATTCTCGATTCCCTACAACCTTGTTACTCAGAGAGCCATCCCCAGGCAAGCAGCATTAGCATCCTCTGGGAGCTTGTTAGAAATGCAGAACCTCAGGCCCCACCCCACACCTAATGAATCCGACCCTGTATGTTAACAAGACCTGTAGGTGACTCATTTGCAAATTAAAGTGTGGGAACAAACGTGCAAAGTATTGCCCATGGTTGAGTTTGATGCGTTCAGTAAATGAAGCAGTCTTTATAATACGTTAGTCCTACTGAAAAGAGCATTTCATTTGTATAGACAAGTCCTGTAGTCAGAGTCACTTAAATTCATTAGTGTATCACACACTAACTGGTTCTAGATTCTATAAATAAACAATTTACTGATGTTCAGTGCCCTAAACTTGTAGGTTTATTAAAAGCTTATATATCTTAGGTATTTTGAAAGTATACTTTTATGGATAGCATAGTTTTAACAATTTTTGAAAATATCTGCAAAGCTGCATTTAACTAGTTTTCACTTTGTCTTAATAGTATAAGTTAATAAGATCATAGGATGTTTAATCTTAAGGATCACAAGGTATTTAGTTTTATATTTAGAAAATTACATTTTATCATTTTGTCAAATTTCAGCATTTCATGTGGGAATTTTTCTGTTTATGCTAACTTCTCTCAAACATTTTTTTTTGTGAGGAGATCAGCCCTGTGCTAACATCTGCCAATCCTCTTTTTTTTTTGCTGAGGAAGACTGGCCCTGGGCTAACACCCATGCCCATCTTCCTCCACTTTATATGGGACGCCGCCACAGCATGGCTTGCCAAGCAGTGCGTCGGTGCGCACCCGGGATCTGAACCAGTGAACCCCGGGCTGCCGCAGCAGAGCGCGCACACTTAACCGCTTGCGCCACCGGGCCGGCCCCTCAAACATTTTTTAAGTGATATTTTTCTGTTATTTTAAGTTTTTAACATTTTTAGGATTTCAACAATTTCTAAAGTAGATATCAATTTAGTCTGTTATTTCTAATAATTTGGAGTCAAAACATGTAGTGTGTGACACAGCTGACTTCTGTCATTTTTGGGGCCATTTTAATTAAATTTTATGGTTAAGGTGTATCAATCTAGAGTAGTAATATGGTACATTTAGTGATCCCTTCTGAGAATGCTCACTTTCCTTCTACTTTGAAGAGTTCTTCCCTAGCATGTTAAATTTTTTTGCATATTGAGTCATTCACTTATCATAACTGCTCTTTGTTAGAAACAAAAATGACATCAGTATTTCATAAAATGTCTGCAGTATATAAAGCTTACAGCAAAATGTACTACATGGGATAGGTTCAACAGGCTTAAATGATGTTTTGTTTTATTTCAAAATAGGCTGAATTTCAGTTTTATCCCAGCCATTTCACTTTGGCTGCTTTGCAATGGAGTAGTTAAGTAAATATATGAAATATATGTCATGTTTTCATGTTTCATGTTTCAGACACTTTAAAAATGCCTGAAAAGCTCAAAATATTCATGTAAACAACGACACGTAAATTATGAGAAGTACAAGAGGAAATGGATAAAGAAGTATTGAAGAAGACAAACTCACCCAATCATTTACAAAATTCTCCAATATGGAGAGAAGTACAGCACTCGTAATTTGAAATACACAGAATTTTGTATTTCCCAAAGATAAAAACCCAAAATCAAGAAAAATCCAGAATGCACTGAACTTCAGCCAACCACTGTAAAATAGCTAAGGCAGAGGAGCCTTTACTTACATACAACAAATAATAAATTCAATTAAAAGTCTTAAAGAAATCCTCAAAGACTATCAAAAATATCTCATGCAACACGATTAGCCATAACATTTAGATAAAAGTTACTAAAAACTAGTTTTAGTGAATAAACAGAAAAAGCATCACTAGGAAAGTGGGTTAGGTCACACCAACTAAATGGTTCTCAGCTCATTGCTGCTAGTAGAATTCTGAAGCTCAATCTGTTAGTAATGAGGATTTAACGAGGGCATAATACATAGTAAGTAATTTTCTTTGCACTGTATGGCATATAAGAGAAATATAACATATGGTTTCTCTTGAAGGAGATAATCAAGTTAAGAAGACAAGAGTAACACTCTTTAAATCATAACTAAAGCAGAAAATCAGATGTGAACTGTGCAGCGGGTTACGTGGGTGCTATTATAGGGATTAAGAGAAGGGCAAGGGGGCCACGGTAAAGCACGACTCCAAGTGGAACACTGGTATTTGCAAAGGGGCTAAGACAGGAATCAGCGGAGGCTGGCAGAACAAGAAAAGCATCTCTCTGACCCACTAGAGCACAGTGTCCAAGCTTTCCACTGTGCTCTTATCACTACGCTCTTACTCCTAAAATAATTCATCACTCTTCTGAGATGCAGAGTTTTTACTTCTAATCACAATGGGGGAAAACAGGTCCCTCTATTATCACCCCCTCCATTTACTCTCCTTCTCCTTTACTTATGTGATTAGGACTGTGTGTGTGTGCGTGCATGTGCGTGTGTGTGTGTGACAGAGAGATAGAGATGGAGAAAAGGACAGAAGGAGAAACGGAAAGAGAATTAGTTTAGGGTTGGAGAGACAGAGACAGTACACGGAGGCACAAACCACCCCTTAAGACAATAAAAGAATGGAGGTTATAAAGCACATTACAGGTTACAATAAATGTTTTGTTTAGAAAACAAAAAAGCATTCCTTTCTTTTCTCATATAAAAACATTAAATTAGAGTATGAATTTTTATTTTTATTTATTTATTTAAAAAAAATTTTTTTTTTGTGAGTAGGACTAGCCCTGAGCTAACATCCGATGCCAATCCTCCCCTTTTTTCTTGAGGAAGATTGGCCCTGGGCTAACATCAGTGCCCATCTTCCTCCACTTTATATGAGACGCCAACACAGCATGGCTCGACAAGTGGTGCGTTGGTGCGCACCCGGGATCTGAACCTGCGAACCCCGGGCCGCCGCAGCGGAGCAGGCGCACTTAACCGCTGTGCCACCGGGCCAGGCCCTGAATTTTTATTTTTCTCTGCAGATGGTCAACAAATATGTACTGAGTGTCTGTCATATGGTACCAGGAAACTTTGTCTTACCCTCTTGGAGTTCAGAATGTGATGAGGAAAGCAGATATTAAAAAGAAATTGTAAATAATTGTAAATTTATTAAATTTTTCTGGGAGTTTAAAAATATTGGAAAACATTGCCACAGGAAAAGAAAAGGTATAAAGACATTAATGGTGGGTATCTGTTTACACAAAGATCTTACTTAAGAAGTCTCTAGAGGAACATTAGATCGAAGGTGATTTGGACACTTTTTTTTCCTTAGAGCCAGGGCTAAAGTTGAGGCTACTCATCAGGCAGGTCCTCAGGGGAGCCAGTGTTTTATCTCCAGTGCTTACGTCAAAATATTTAAGATTGCTTGGGTGTAATTATGAACGAAACACAGATTTTATCCTCAACTTTACCACTATGCCTCTAGTACCTAGTGTAATTCTTGATACACAGTAGTAACACAATAGATATGTTTATGGATTGAATTAAGAATGAATGAATGTTGCAGGAGGGAATGTAAATGGTAGAACCACTGTGGAAAACAGTATGGCAATTCTTAAAAAAATTAAACACAGATTACTATACAATCCAAGAATCCCACTTCTTGCTATATATCCAAAAGAAGAGAAAGAAAGGACTTGAACAGATATTTGTACTCATGTTCATAGAAGCATTATTCACAATAAACAAAAGATGGAAGCAACCCAAGGGTCCACCAACGGATGAATGGATAAACAAAATGTTGAACATACATACAGTGGAATACTGTATTAAGGTAGAAGATTCTGACACATGCTACAGCATAGATGAACCTTGAAGACACCAGGCTAAGTAAAATAAGTCAGTCACAAAAGGGCAAATATTTTATGATTCCACTTATATGAGGTTCTTTGAAGTCAAATTCAAAGAAACAGAAAGTAGAATGGTGGTTGCCAAGGGCTGGAGGTGGGAAGAATGGAGAGTTACTGTTTAATGGGTAAAGAGTTTCAGTTTGGGATGATAAAAGGTTCTGGAGATGGATCGGGGCGCTGGCTGTACAGCATTGTGAATGCACTTAATGCCACTGAACTGTACACTTAAAAATGGTTA